GTTGGATAGAAGAAAAAACCTTAGGTACAAAAGACAGCTTAAGGACAGACCTTTGAAACTTGACCAGATTTGTGTTTCTGTACTGAGGTAACCATCCAGGAAAACACTCTGTAATTTTAGATTTGTAAACAGTTTCTCAAACTGTACAATACATCTCTAGTAGATGAAGCCAGTTCTTGTTTGACTTTGAATCCTTTACTACTATTGCCATGGCACCAGATATTATGCTTAATTGCCAACCGTAAGGCAATTACTTAGGCATTTTGTTTAAAACTGGAGAATGAAATGATAAAAAGTTCTGTATACATTTCAGTTCTCTGAAATAGAGACAGTGGTATTGATGGGCATAATTGTATTGATTGCACCACAACTTTGTTTATCTGTACTTGAAGAAATCTCACTACTTTACAAGTAGGGAACTAGACCAGCAGAAATCTGTATTCAAAGGATGCAGTAGCAATTTTACTATTAAAAACTATTCCAAAAATCTAAGCATAGTTACTGTGCCTGTATTATAAAGGAAAAGAATTATAGGACACAGAATTAAAGAAACATACATTCTTCAGCCTAGTATTTTTGTCTTGTCTGGCTCCGAGGCAGTGTCAGCTTGACTTGGTCTTTTAGTGAGCAGAAAGAAAAAGAAAACTATATTTTTCAAGAATGGAGGGGATACAAATGATACTTTTTTAGCTGATGTGTTTAGCACCAAGATCGTTTTATTTCTCCTGCTCTATCAATCTATATTACAACTGCTCTATTTTGTTTTGGGACTTATTTTGAGTTCTGTCTTTTTGGTGGGCTAGAGAGGCTGTGACATGGAGCCTCTGCATCCAGCAGAATTAAAAGTGGTTATTGAGGCTGGGCATGAAGCAAATAATGAATGCCACAATTAATGCTAGCAAGCATTCTGCAGAATATTAATACAGCCCTACAGCCCATCAAGTTCTGGGAACCAAGGCCAGGATTTTCCCAGGGTGCAAAGTGGAAAGCAGAATATTTTCAAAGCTATGACTTACTAAATACTAATTAGTATACCAGTGGTACACTATTTACTTTCCTAATTACCAATCTCATTTGCTTTTGCTTTACACAGAAAGGATGTGGAACGTGTATGGTTAATTACAAATATTTACCCAGGATATTGTCAATATGCCATTTGAATGTTGTAGGTATAATCATTACTTTTTAATGTATATGCTCTCTGTACAAAAATCTGTCTTTAATGTGCAGGTTTTGAAGACGTCTAAACTCTTTGGTGCATCTAAGAGCATAGAGGAAATGTATGGTCACTATCCAATGTGATACCAAAACTTTAACGAGGTCATTTCTTTGATATCTACCATTCTGCATCCATAAACAGAAACTCACTTCCACCTAATATGGCAACCTTTTATTGCATTAAAATATTAAATATTACACTGTCTAAACCCGTGCCAGGAAAAATAGCACCGGACATAATAAAGGCAGTAGTTTTAATTCTAGGCAGGTATTTCACAGGATTCTTTAAATATTCATTATACATATGCCTAAAAGTCAGTACATACTCTTAAAATTTCACTACTAAGCTTTTCAAGGTCCTAATTAAAATAACCATATGCAGTAGCTGATATCCTCTCTTTCTATACTTAATACATTCTTATATTATAACTGCAGTAATCTGGATCAGGGTGTAAGAAAGGTGAATGAGTTTTATTTCTGCCTGACAGCATTTTGTAAAATCCACGTTGCTGCTGGATGAGAAGCACATACCAGCACCTGCTTTCTTTTTCTCCTTGGGCATGTTATGTTTTCCTTCAATGATTTGTTTCTTAGTGCTATTAGCTTTTAAGGCCACTTTGGCTGGAAAAAGCATTACACTTAACATTTAATTGAAAAAGTGTAAAGGAGGGAAGCAAAAATACATTTTGTTCTTTTATCTGTGCATCCTTTTTATATTATTGATACAGAAGGAGATAGAGATGGCAAAAACATCACATACACGTATGAAGCATCCCTGCTAGGCAAACACAGAGCTTTGTAGCATCACAAAGGACCGTTGCTATCCTGACTGCAGTTTTCCTCCGGGATGACTACATTGTAAAATAAACTCAAAGCATTATAAACTTCAAAAAGAGCTTTAGAGGCTTGCTCCATGACAGAGTGAGTCACTTGTGGCAGCCACAAGAAAGGTCTGTGGAGTTTGAGGTCCTGCTATGACGTCTGAAGTAGAGATTCGAGGGGATGACATAGAACAGGAGGGCGAGGTAAGGGCTGACATGGTCAAAATCTGTATCAGAAAAACAGGCAAACAATTCTGCCCCCAAATACTCTTTCCAATTCTTAGAGAGATATTTGTCTTTTCATTACTTCAGACTTAATTGTTTCATCCCTATCTCAGGAGATCTGTCATCTAGGCAGCTCCCAAGCTATTTGGAGCAGATATAATACTGTGCAGTGTGGTACTCTGTAGTTGTACCTCACTTGGCTCTGAGCAAGCTGCCCCCAGGACTATGCTGTCACAGTGCCAAGTCTGGGCTAATTCGACCCCCTGGGAAGTGGCTGTTCTTTCTGCAGGGCTGCTTCTGCCACATTGAGTGGTGGCAACTTGTCGGGGTGTCCCCTACCATGGCTCTGTTTGTGTACCTACACCCTGGATGCCTCTTAGATTATAGTCAGAAGCTGTAAGCCTACCTAGAGACCTATCCCTTTTTCTACTTAATAAACAAATGTCAAATGTCTGTTTTCAATGTCGATTTAGATCTTTGGATACTTCCAGAGATTACCTGGGCATGGCTTTTGTGGAGGTGTGTGTTAGTTTGTTTATTTGTTTGCTTCTAATATATGTGAATGAAATTGCTGCACTAGGATTTAAAAACCATCTCAAACCTCTTTGTCTGTCTCATGAAACCAATATTGTTTCTTGTTGATTTCTTCTCTGCTGGAAATACTCCTCAAACTTATCCAAATTTGACACTGAGAAGAGAGGATGGGAACGTGATTTACAGTAGAATGTCTTCAAGCTGTGTCATACTTCTCCGTCGATGGCCATCTAGGTGATTTTATGTGCTGTGCATCAGTGCAATTCAAAATGCTTGCCATAGCACCCCCTAGTTTGTCTACTGGTCAGGTAATGGTGAGGCTTCTATGTCAGTGAATAGATGTCTCATAGTAGATAGCTAGTCTTCTGTGATTTATTTTATATAGTAAGGCAGATCTCACAGCCTCTCCTTAATATTCCAACCATGAGACTTAAGGCAACAGCAAAAAATGCTTTCAGGACAATTCTGGAGCAAGCCAAGCTTTAGGAGACTGATCCAACTTCTGCTGCTGAAGGCTGCAATGTTCTAGCAGGCAGCAGTGTTGGTCCCTGCTGCTGGGAGAGTTACTAATGCAAATCTGGGATTCTACTAAGAGCTGTTCCAGTCCGTTAAAAATCATACATGCCATTTAGGAGACTATATCAAAACTTTGTGCCCATCATAATTCCTCTATTATTTTCATATTTGGTTTCCAATTATTTTTCTATGAAAACTCACTGTTAATGCCCAACTATGGATTTTGATGCTGTTCAAATTTTGAGTCAGATAACAGCAATACAGCTCTTAGTAAAAAAATAATCATGAAACTTAAATGAGGCGCATAGCCAAAGAGGTGACATTTTATTCAGCTAGTGACAATCTTAGGAAGAAAAAACAATATCTTGTGAGGTTTTAACTGGCCATTCATCTCAGTGGAGAAGTCTACTTGGGAATCTGTAATGCAGCACAATTCAATGTGTTTGTGTCCCTCTCCTTAGCAATCTTTCCTTTATCATTCAAAGGAAGTCTTTCTTTTCTGTGCTTCTGCATCCGCAGTCCCAGCAACCATAGATGTGATTATGAACCCCAAATTTGTCCAATATAAGTATTATTAGATAGTGAAATCCATGCATGCTACAAAGCCACATGGGATCAGTGGAGATGGTTAAAAAGAAAATGAATGCAGCTCATTGATCAACACGGTCTGTGATTTCTTGGCAGAATATTTATCCATTTTTACAGGAAGTATGCAGAATTTTGAATCCAGTATTTGAGTTCATCGCAGTCTGGAGTCTATATGTGTGAAGTTTAGTTTTCCTTTTTGCATGTTCCTTTCTAACCCATACACCTTACTTAATTCCATAGTTTTTTTACTGGCTATGAAATATATTCCCAAATACTCAGCATGCCCATATTTGTTTTTTTTCACCTAGGATGTATTTTCCTACTAGATGTGTCCTATTATGAATGCAAATTTTCCAAATATTGGATTATTCCAGCCACAGGACTCACAACCCTGTACCTTCCCCTGTGTGTTCTGATAATAAAACTGATAGCCTGTTGTCAGATGTGATTAATGTTACCTTTAAAAAAATGCAGAATGAGCCCTGCAGTGTATTTTATGCCCTATAGATTTATGTATAGGCTGTTAGCTTAGTTTTGGCCATTCTCCCACTGTTAATGAAATGAAAAACAGCCAACAGTGAACAGCTTGTGTCCTGTATAACAGTCCTTTAAACTTACTACATGCCACATCTTAGTGAGGTGGTGGTCAGCAGCTGCCCAGTATTTGGGCCTATTTCACTTCTCAGGAAGTCAAGAAAAAAGGTTTGGATTCAAATGACACATCAATATTCAAATATTTGAATGGAATGAACAAAATGCTACTTGCAGGACAGCCGAATTCACCTCCGTGACCACCAGGGATCCCCACAAGCTGAATGGCTCACTGCCACTGCCACCCAGAGAGCACAGGCAGAGAGGAGGAAGGGGATCGGGTACCTGAGGCAGCTCCAGCTCACAGCCCGTACCTCCCCGCTCCTGCCGTGCGCTCCCACCATTGCTTGGCCCAGGTGAGAGAAATGAAACCTCCCTGAAGTACCCCCCACCCTTGGGCACAGGAAGAGCCACCGTCAAATGCGGAAACAGGACAGGCAACTGGAGAATATTTAGGATGTTTATTTCTGGAACTAATCTACTCTGTTCACTTGGAACCTAGGATCTCTATCTGCTGTGGCATGAATTGTGCTGATGTCCAACTCGGTCGCCTCCAGCTCCGCTGTTGCTAGCGGCGGGCTCACTGCCCGCTGATGCTGCAGGGCCTCGCCGTCTGTTCGGAGGGCTGCTCACGGGGCCCTCCTCGAAATCCAGCTCTGGTGGGAATGCAGCTGATGCTCTCCTTCGTACGCCAGCGCTCTGCTTGAACCATTTCTGCAGACATGGGTACTCTTTCTTGAAACTGGGGTTGTAGTAGCAGAGCAACTGCAAAATGCAGAGGAGAAGAGTTAGATGCCACCGTTTCCAGATTGCAAAAGACAAAGCTACTTTAAGTCATAATCAGAAATTTTAGGATTGTCAAAGCAGGAAAGCGGGTTTGGAAACCCAAATACCACCAACTTGCAGCCCCCTCAGGTGGGACCGGCCACCAATGCACCTGTCCCGAGAGGTGTCCTATGGGCAGGGGGACTGCGTACCTCACTGCAAACAGACGCGGCTGCGCCTGCTGGGCATTTTGCCCGAGAGGCAGCTGTGGGCAAATCGCTGTCCACAATGAAGAAGCCGTGCAGGTGGAGCTGGCGAACGAAGGCTTTCATGCAGCCGATGCTGAGGTTGTGTAGAGGTCCTGTCCTTCCCAGCACTTCTGTTTTGAAGAGGGTTTCCTCAATCACAATGGTGTTCTCATCGTCGCCCCACCAGATGGACTGGAAGCAGTCGCTGTCCACAATTTTACGGAGCTTTGTTAGAAAGCAGCATGCCGAGTCATGGGCTTTGCAGGAGCCCTTGGTGGAAAGATCAAGGCGTTGTCTTTTGGCACAGGATTGCTCCTGTGAACCCTGAGAAGTGTCTTCTTCTCGTGTCGGTCCTAAGGCAGCATCCCGAGCTGTTCTTTTACCCCGTCTTTGCGGAACAGAAGAAGCCGGGTCTGCCGAGCCAGCATTTGGAACAGAAACTCCAGGAGTTTCTGATGAAGATGTCTCCATCTTAATTATTAACTGTTTGCGCTGACAGAAATTTCTGTCCGCAGCGGTCTCCCCGGCCAACCAGGGTCGTCCTGCCAGCAGCAGGATGGAGCGCAATGGCAGCCGTGGTGTGAGGCGTGGGGAGTGGGCTGGGATGGTCACAGACATCACCATGGTGACCGTGCTGCACGACAGTGACATCACAGACCGGTGACTGTTTGCTGGGGAAATGGGGTGGCGGCATCCTTGTTAATTATGGAAGGCCAAGCTGGATGTGGCTCTGGGCAGCCTGGTGTGGGGGTTGGTGACCCTGCGCATAGAAGGACATTGAAAGCAGGTGGTCATTGTGGTCTTTTTCAACCGAGGCCATTCTATGGTTCTATGATTCTAAGAATCTGTGATCAGATACTTGAGATTGGAATTATACTGTTTCCAAATTTAACTATTGTAAAATCTATCATTCCTCACTTCAGTTTAGGTGAAACAAAGACGAGAAACAAACACTCATTCTTCACAACTCAGAAGCTTGCAAACATCATCATAAATTCCACACCAGCTGCTATTCCCAGCAGTCAGTGTAGTCACGTAGAGAAATTGTGCCTTTGAAAAGATAAATCGATTGGTCCCCTGTCTCAGTGCTGTTGCTTATTCAGATAGGGATACGTGGACGGGCATCAGAGTGGTGGGCAATGCTTTCATTAGTCCTTGATTTAAATATTAATGGAATTGTATGTTTTAGGAAGCCATTTGGGATAAAACTATTGCTATTTGTTAGTAATAATTGGGCAGCTGCTGGAGGCCCTTGTTTAAGGGTCTGCCAAGAAGTGCGCTGTTAGGGCTCTGTGGCCACCAGTTTTTTGATTAAGCCTAGTCCTACAAGAAATGAGCTGGATCAGTCCTGCTGTAGTGTGAGTAACAAAGTATGAGCTTCGGTCAGACCCTCTTTTTTTCCCTGTGTTGTAAGGACAGCAGTCGGACAGGTGCGCATCTGATAGATGATGAAGAGTAAAACCTGTTCATCTCCTCTTTTCTCTCAGAGCAGCAGAACTGCATGCTGCATGGTGATGTCTGATTTATTAACTGGGTTTGACCTGCCTTTATTGAGTTAGTAAAAGAAAAATCACGTCTGCCAGCTTCTGCTGGCCTGCTGTTGTAGATGAAAGTTAATGTTTTAAGGGCAAGTGACTTAACCACAAAGATCCTAATTCTTTCCATTTCAAGACCTGTCCGTTCATGCAAATTACACTATTCCTTGTTATACAGGGATTGGTTTTGCCTAATGCTTCTTTGAGTATAAATATGGTACCTAGTTATATATATACACAGCCTAGTATGGAGTCAGTTAGCTGTTGATAGCAGCAGTACAAACATTTACAATCCGAAAGGCAGACAAATCATGTGCTGCTACACTAACTTACCACTGGAAGTATGTCATGCATGGTTGAACAACAGAGTATTAAAAGCTGAGAAAATGCTAAACGGCACTGATAAACAAAAAGGTCCCGAAAGGCCAAAGATTCAAACAGATTTATTCCATGAAAAATAAAATCCGTGTCCAGAACTATTTACAAAAGAAGCTTTAATCTGTTAATTAGCAAGACTTAAATAGTCATTTTTATTTATAACAGCACCCAAAATATTTAGGCTGCGTTCAGCCGTATGGAGGCACAGTTTTTAGAGACACCACTGACTTTGTAGATTGCATGTGGGAAGAAGGGAGTACAAACAAAAGCAGCCGAATACAGAAATGTGCAAGAAGGGAAATTGCTAGTATGCATCGTGGGTTAAACTGTATGCTTAGAATTGGTCTAGAAATTGTACTGGATTGTGAGCGCAGATCTGGATTGCATTCCTTCCTCCCCCAGCAGTACAACTGGCTTCTCTGATTTTCTGCAACTTGCTTTCCTCCTTGCTCTCCTCTTATTTTGTAAGTTTTCTGTAGCAAAGCCCATTTCACACCATGTGTATGCTTTCCAAATACAAATGGAAATGAGATTTTCAGTGGGGCTGTTGGTGCTGCTGTGTTTCTTGTGGGAGAGCTGTCTTGTAGTAACAGCGTGTCTTCTATAAATTGTATTCTGTTGAAATACTCCTGTTCTAGTTTTTCCAACCCCAAAGAATGCTGCAAATCGCTATTTAGTGAGTATTGTTTGTAATCAGAATGGAAAATCTGTTTAGTTTGGAGGACTACAGATAAAACTAATCACAATCCCACCTCTCAGTGAAACCAAAAGTTTTGTTAAAGATTCCAAACTAGAAATTGCACATATGGAAACCACAGCTGTTAAGATAGCTGAGATTTCATAGCTGCCCTGGCTGTACAATGCAAGTTTTCTGTTTGCGTTAATCCTAAATCCCTAGGCTGTTTCGCAAATCTCAGGCTGTTTCTGGAGCACCAGGGCCCTATGCCCCCTACACTGTAAAGAACAGAGGTTGCATTTCAAAAGAAAAGGCACCTAAGTTTCTCTTGATATGTTTGGAGAGTGAAGGAGAGAGGAATCTGGGACTGTAGTCTATTTTTAAAATTGAATGAAGTATAAATATAGATTGAGTAAAAGAGATTTTAACCTTTTAAGTTAAGGATTTTACCTTTTAAGTAAACCTGTGTGTTCTTTCCCTCAGTAATATTGAAAAACTAATTTTCTAGAATCTGAGAACAACATTGGAATGAACTTCCCTTGTACTGATATGTAGGAAAATTTAAAACATCTTTCCTTTGGTTTGGCAGAGTTTACTAGAGATGCAACAAAATGAAAAGCATTTCTCACCAGACCGATACCCTTTTTCAACTCCAGATATGATTTTTTTTTTTTTTTTTTCATGTGTGAGCTTAACTGAAAGGAGACTTTGTTGGAAGTCATTCTATATTTAGGAATTGAGAAATCAAACGCACTTCTCATTTTGTAATTCTTACTGGATGATTACCACATCAGTGCAAACTACTATGTGTTCAACTTTCATGTCACAGTGCCATTACTTCTCCTTTATTGCCAAATACCAGGAAGCTGCAATTCTGTTTGATCATAGCTGGGGCTTTCTGGCACCCAGTGTCATGGGTTTTTTTGCTTAATAAATCTACCATTTTTGCATAAAAACTATGTAAGGTTACTGCATCTCATTTCAAGCATTTAAATGTTTTATGTTAAATCAAATGTGATGGAATTTATGTTAAATGAAAACAGACTCTTAAGGAAAAGAGGAAAAAGGCAATGATAGTGTGAGGTGGAGTGCTATGTATTCAGAATGAAAAACAGCTTGGAAATCAGAGCTCAGAAAGGTTAAAGTAAAAGCCAATAACACATTGCACATAGTTTATCTGTCTACTGGAAGGTTTTCTTTAAAGGCTGTGAGTATGTTTAAGCCAAGTTCCTTTAGAAAAATCAGAGTTAAAATCACATGAGATAAGTATTATCACAAACTGGCTTTCTGTAATAAAAAGAAAGGTTTTTTTTCTCCTTTTTTCTTTTTTTTTCTTTTTGGAACAAAATATGAACTTATCTGCTCACTCAGCAGGAATCTTCCTCCTTGGTACTGGGAATGGCTGAGTCACTGTGGGCAATGGACTTCAGAGAAAGAGACCAAACAGAAAATCCAAACTGACCAATATCTTTCAACCACTTCTGCCTCTTTGAGTCACAAGTCCAAATCAGTGACCAAAAGTTTACACAAAGATTATTCACTTTTTGGATGCTTTCCCTGCAGCCAAAGAACTATGTCTCTCAAATAGTGTTTTTGTGCTCTTTGTAAGAGTTGTAGTTTCCATGGAAATCAACAGGAGGCATTACTTTCGGAGCAACCCATGTGGAAAATATGCCATGTGTATTCCAGTCAGTGTCAGTGAACTGCGAATGTATTACCACTGTTTATGTCCACTAATAATATGTTGTAATTAGCAATCAACTGACTTCTGCAGAGGATACAGGTGGGATGGGCCTGGCTGTGCTTGAAGAAAACGGTAGTTATACTATCCAATAAAATAATATCAAGTTCCAGCCCCTGAACAGGGTAGATATGTTGTGTTATCGTGTTGTCAGGATGTGTATAGGGTTTCATTTATTTTCTTTATGGAAACTGAAAGTTGTGCCTGTGTTTGCTGTTGTGGAAGAGTTTCTGCATAGATCTTAATGGATTTCTTGAGCTCTCATCTACAGCAGTAAAAATTAATACTGGAACGAGTGGAATGCAAAATAACAACCTGCTAAACAGTGACTAGATGCATTCAAATACACTGGTAGATGTTTGACTAATGTGAGCTGTGGGGGGGGGGGTAGTGGTGGGAAAAAACTGTCATTTTCCAGGATAATAAACTGGAGAAAAAAATTTAGAGAATTTTTCATTGCAAAATAAGAACCGTGTGTCTCCTAAATTAGTTATCCTCAATGCTACAGTACAGTTTCACATGAAGTTTGTGATAAAACTATGCCTGTAGGAGGAATTTGAGTCTTTTTAGGCCTATATACGTGTAAAATCGGTTTGATTAAGATTGAAATGTGTATGCAAAAACCTGATAAATGAGAGTGCCATGTGACTGGAGGGAATGAAGAAGGACAGCATCAGGGAAGAACAGTATAAAAAGGGAAAAGCAAAATGGATAATACTGAAATGAATAACACTGTGCCTTGAAGAAGTAAAAAAAGCAGAAAAATTCACTGAAGGAGCTCTCAAAAGCGTATTATGTTGTAATATTCCTTCGAGGAAGACTGGAAAAAATAGGGTTTGAAATTGCAACAGTGAGGCTCAGCAAGTGTTTCTTGGAATATGCAATATTTATATTACAGTGAGCATGTGATGATTAGGAAGATCTTTTCAATAAAGTCTTATATTAGCCCCTTCACAATTTTTTTTGAATGGATGGATAAATGGTCACAGAGTAATTGAAAAACTTGTCTGTGAGCCCTGAAAGTAGAAGTGAAGGAGCAGAGAGGCCCGGCGCTGTGCCTTGCCTTGGACTGTCTTCTAGAGTTTGCCATCCCCTGGGCATCAATAAGGCAAACAATTCACACCTAAAACGTTGAGGGTAG